AATCTGATAGAAAACAAAAGAATCAAAACACTTTGTGTTTTTTGTGGTAGACATCCCATAGAATTACCACGGTATAAATAGCCGAAACCAAACTGTTTTTAGTCATAACTCTGTGTAATATAATCAACGTACAATACAATATTCTCTATGTATTTCTTTCTGTGTTAACAATTAATTTGTTAAGTAAGTTAATACTTCTGTAAATGCTATTTTTTGATTGAGTGTTTGATATTATTTCTGATAAACAGTAGTTTATAATGAATTTATTAGTATTTTACAAGAGTATTGAGTGTTTGTGATAACGATTGTATCGAGCGAAATTAAAATGTATATAGTCTATGTCTATCTTTTGAAAACAAAGTTTACTAAGTCATGGTATGCACTATGAAGAACAAATATAGCTCAACGAGGGAAATTTATATGTTCTTCTTCGACTTTCTCCTATTCGGGATGTTGAAAAGCATCTGCTAGTAATTTTATTTTTTTTACTTTTGGTTACCTCAATCTCAAAAGAATTAAAGAGTATTTCGGACTTTCTTTATTTTTTTTTGTAGACTCTTGTTTTCAATTCGTTATTTGTAAATAATAGCTATTATTATTGTTATTCTAATAGTATGGAGAAAACTCAACGAGCAACACCACGATCAAGAACAGCACCGGTCGACCAAATGGCAACATTACCACCGACAACAGGTGATACTCGTGCAAGTTCAACATCATCTTCAAGCAATCAAACATCATTATCATTTACGGTTGGTTCTTCTATCTCAAAAATCATTCGATCATCATTATCACCTAAAGAAACTAACTCTTGTTCCAACACAACAGCAGAAAAGAAATCAAAATCCATATCAAAAACACAAATTATCAATTGTAACAGTGGTCCAAAAAACAATGATGGTGAAAGTGATGATGAAGCACATTATGATTTACAAACATGCATAGAAGAAAGTGGTGGTTTAGATTAATTCTTACACACACCATGTATGACCTTGTATAAAAATAATTTAAAGAATCAAAGTTAGTTGAATTATTTATTTTATTTTCAATTATTAAACTATATCGAATAGGGCTAGTTGTTCTAGCCGATTTCATACGAACAGCCTTAAAATTCTAGTGATCAGAAAACATAATTTGATTTTTTTCCCGGAAGCATTAGATTTTGCGGATGCCTTTAGTTTTTACTGTAATATCTGTTTCTGGTGACCAGAAGACATAATTTGATCTTTTCTCTGAGGCATTAGATTTTGTGAATGCCTTGTGTTTTTACAATAATATCTGTTTCTGGTGACCAGAATATTAAAACCTGAAGCATACTGCGTATCCCTTTTTTTATTTTTATTTATTCCTTCTTGATTGCGTTTTAGGTGATCTTGAAAATTACGTTTTACAACATCTTTCATCATATAAAGGAAATGTGTGTGCCTTTGCTGGTATTAAAGGAACGGATGAGATGAAAAATAAAATCAATGAATTTTACCATCAAAATCGAAAAACATCTATGGAATCAACAATTCTTTTTAAAGGACATGCATCTAAAACGACAGCAACACAACAAATTTTCCTACGCAATGGCCATTTATATTTGTACGTTAATACCGTAATGAAAAACAAAACATAGAAAAACAAAAGAAAGAAAGTTTGTGTTCGTAAGTGATATGTACTTTTAGTATACCTCCATAAATAGAACGTTTGTCTTGTTCCTAGTTTTTTGAAAATGAAAAGGATAAATTTTGCTTCTTCTCTTTCATATGAAATATAGGTTCAGCACGCAGTGATTGTGAAGAATTTGATGGAAAGTATCGTGACCGTGGTATAAACCGTGGAATTTTAGCTTCGACCAAATATTCTCAAAACGAAACGTACAGAAATCGAAATAACGAAGAAGAAAAGATTGGTAAGTTCATAGAAGACATAATGAGTTAATATGCTAGATACAAATTTTTGGATTCTGGTCACCAGAAACAAAATTTATATATTTATGTTTTAGATATTGAAAATGTCAATAATGGTTCATCAGCTGAATTAGAAAGATATGAGAAAGAATCTGAATCAAGTGTTAATGAAGATGCAAGTTCAGAAGAAGAAACAAGTCAAATAAATAGTATGCTATTAAACTAACTATTATTTAAATTTCAAAGTAGACATATGTTAGTGAATAGAATTTGTAGTGACATTATGTAATAGATTTCTGTCTTTCTAATGTTCAAAACTGATGACCAGAGCTTGAATTTGTTCATCTGTCTTTCATTTAGCTTCAAGTGGTTGTACAAAATGAGGTCCGATTAATTGAAAATGAGGATCAAAGAATAGTGAGTATATAATTGTAACAATGATTTCTTTTAAAGCGCTCAGCACTGTTGTTTATCAGTTGTTTTAAATAGCTGGTGTATATCTATTATATGATAAGAAAAAGGAAGTACAAGAATGCGTGAATAATGTGTTAAGTTATGCTAATGAATATGGAACATTACTATCAGAAACTCAGTTAAAGACGATATTGGATATCGAAAATGTTGAAATCACGAAAGATCGTACAAATGGTCTTGTACAAGTTATTTCAAAATGTGTTGATATTGTTACTAATTCACATTTTGTACCGCCAACGACAAAAAAGCCGTAAGCAATAATTTCTGAATGATACGTTTTTCTACTTCTATCATTCTCTCATAATAGAGTGTATGAATATTACGGGAAGAAGTATAAACTGACTATGATACATCCCATCAAACCCATACCAATACCAAGTGCGATATTGCCAAAATATCAGACAAAAGGAAATAAAAAGGTCAGTAGATAGTTTTGTAATTCTGGTAACCAGAATTGAGGTTTTTTAATATTTGTATTGAACAGGAAAAAACTGATGGTTGTAATAAAAGTGGAAATGAAAAAGAACCAGTAAGTTATTGTTTGAGAATTCTAGCAGGAGTAAATTTTATCATTCATAGGAAAAAAATAACTACTTTTGTTTCTTTCTAATTGCAGTCTGTTGAAATAATGGAGAGAAAATATTCAGAAACGTACAGTGCTGAAGATGATGATGATGATGATGAAAGTTGATGATGTAAGTAGTGACAACTTTTAAATTCATTCTTAATAGTGTATTACATAAACTATTTGTTCCTCTTTTATTTAGATAGAAAAAAATAAATGAAGAAAATAATACAACATCAGGTGATGATGAAGAAAAAGATCAAAACGAAAAACTCAACAAGTTAAAAAATAATAGTTCACAAGTATGTTATTGCTATATGTGAAATGGGGATCAGATTCTTAGATTTAGAATTTCATCTTTTATTCTGTAGGAAAGTTGTAATACTCCTAAAGATGGTTTTGGTAAGAAAAATCAAACTGTAGTTGATAATAGTGTACTTGATGAATAATCTATTGAAAAAAATATTATCTCATTACCACCTAGTTATTTGGAAGAAGTTATCAGCAGTTATAATGATTATGGTAATAATAATGTTGTTGATATTTCAAAACAAATTGAAACACAAGTTGATAATGTTGTATGTACCTTGTTCTGCATTAACCAAATAGCAGTTTCTGGTTACCAGAAAAATGTTTTTACGCGACTACTTATAAATTATAACATCTTCTTTTCCAGTTGCGGGTAAAACTAATTCCACTATCATGATTGATACGCATAGTCGATCATTACCACATGCAGCTGCAGCATCTGTCACATCTTCTGATGATTTATCTGTAATAAATCGTGACTCAAAATTAATTACGACTCCACCATCAACACCACCATCTTGAAATTCTATTATCTCTGCAAATAATCAAATGTCGTCAGCTGATACTTGTCATTCCAGTACGATTCAACGTTCAAATTCAGTTGAAAGTACTAGCAAAACTACATCATCACTAGAACAACAAGTCACACAAAGGCAACAAAAACAGAAACATAATCGTGTTAAAAAACTTACTGATCCAATTATATCCAAAAAGTAGGTTTACTTTTATCTCTCATATACATGCTGTTCGTTTTTACTTATAATGAACTTTCATTTTCTTTTTCTAATTATAGTTACAAACGACGATCCTTCTTTTTACGTTCGAAAACAAAAAATTAACAACAACAATTACCTATTGTCACATCTTCTAAATGTAAACAAGATGGTGAACGTGCACATGCAGCACAATCCACTATCTCATTAAAAAAAAAAGAAATTGAATAACGGTGAAAAAGCTGCGACAAATTATCAAGCGTTAACGGAAACTCTGGGAAAAATTTCAAAAAAAAAAATCTGACAATACTACTTTTTCGAATGATAATTAATATTAATGATTTATTAGAGAAAATTTTCAACTTGTTAGCAGCAATGAAAACATATAAAGAACTATAACTATCTGATTTCATTTTGTGTTTCCACTTTCTATCTTGTTCTTTATTTTTGCTCTAATTATGTATTTGTTTGTGCCAAGATTATCACCATACTCGAAGTATTTTTCTGAAATATACTATTTGTTTCTTTTTTTTCCTTTCATTGTCTGAAAATAAAAAAACCTATTCTACAATTCATTTTTGTTCTAAATGACAATGCGAAATGAGTCACTAGTAATTAGAGGCAAACTTTAAAAAGTATGCTGGAAACAAAATACTGCTATTTGACTTTGGTTTATCGTAGTGAATCAAGAAATTATCTTTATGAATACTAGAACAGCCTTATGAAGGAATTATTCTGGATATTGATTCGAGTACGATAAAAAAATCATGCTCGTGAATATTTACACCCTCCAGTGTTAGAGATTGCGAGAAATATTAAAATAGATTGAGTTATCGTGACTCAATTTTTTCTCTATTTGAGCACCTTATATAGTAAATATCGATGAATTGATTTCTGCTGCTTGCAGACCCTTCTTTTAAGTTCATATTAAAGATGAATATCTAATTATATAAGGTACGTAGCACAATTGTGGCCCTCAGAAAACGCGTTTTGTGGAACTCACATATATTTTCGAAGAAAATAGTGAATGTAAGTTCTAAGTTCAAGTTTTGGCGGCTGCCCACACCCCTCCCCATTACAGACACTTAGCAACGGAGGCTCCTGTTACAGACAGACCCCTCCATTACGGACAGATGCCCATTACAGACAGCCCCCCATTGCAGACCCCCCCCCCCCATAACAGACCTTAGTAATTAAGAATAATAGGCGTCAGACTTTCTAGTTTTTTTGAAAAATTGATCAAGTTATAATTTTGAAAGATAATCAACATCATTGTTTATGAGCTGATCAATATATATAATAGTGCATAAGATCTTCTGTAGATATCATGGATATGTAAAACAGATTTATTTGCCAATTAATTCAATGATTGTAATAATGAGAATGTTGAATTACGATAAACGATTTTAAAAAAAAGAAAGATAACTAGACCTCCACTCGAGCTTCGCTCGAGTAGATAAGGCGGCTCACTGCACGAGCCCAAAAAATATCAAAATAGGAGTGTATATGACATCTGCTATTTCAAAATCGTAGCCGTTCCTAGAGAAAAACATAATGAATTCAACTCGAGTTTAGCTGTATTCACTCAGCTGACAAGTGAGAGATAATGAATGTGATCAGCTATCGCCATATAAGGAAACATTCAACTGTTCATTATCGTATTGCTCATTTCATCTATATAAGCCATGACCAGATTTTCTTGATTGCTCGAGACTCTTTCTTGGATGAATTTAAGTCACATAAGACGATAATTAAATTGTATATGCATTTAACATCTGAGATATTAATGGTCGTTTCAGGTTGAATCATACATTACTATATAAGGAAACTGGCAGCTGTTAATTATTATTTTACATATATTTATTATCTCCCGAACGGAATGGAATTTCGAAAAACGGATTTCAGATGTGCACTCGTCACGTTCTCGCGATCTCGACAAACTTTTTTCGAATGTGAAACGATGCTTAGTTGCGATAAACGAGGGGCTGACTTGAATCGTGACTCATGTGTTGAGAAGAAGAAGAAGAAGAAAGAAGAAGAATTTGCCATGGTAACTAAGCGAGTGAAAAGCAATAAGTCGGCTACTGCACTTCGTGCAGTCAGCCGCCTTAATGAGCAAATAGCAACAATGCAAAATAAAAATAGGGCGCTCTCAAACAAAAAAAGTTTTCTGTTTTAAATGAAGAAATAAATAACAAAGTCTCGCTCTTGTCATTCATTATCAATGAAAACAACTACTGTGTACAAGAAATTTTTCAGTTTACATACGATTCATTAGAATATTAATGTTTAAGGATACATGTGAGTTCCACATTTCAGCTGCAAAGGAGCTGCGCTAACAAGCTTTTTTATACTGATTTTTGACTTCCTAAAATATCTGATTCTGGACACCAGAACACCTAACTTTTCTTGTTTATTGCTTTTTATGGTAGATTTTATTTGTCGTCGTTTATTTTTTATTATGCACCACAACAATAATCGCACGTCATCTGCTACTTCAATTCCTTTGCTAACATCGAATATATCATCGACACCATTACATCATCTTCTGCCTACTCCACTGAGTCAAACATCAAGTGCACTTCATACACCATCCTCGTCATTACATTTGTACTTTCCTACACTACCATTTCAACAATAATATCAATATTCACATTCAAATGAACCTCAACCACAAACATTATCACCAGATGAGTGGAGTTTAATAATATCACTAAGAATGATGAAAAATTTAAGTGTTTTACCACCATTCCAACTATCACCATTTCAACTATCACCATTTTCAGCATATCAACATGCAGTTGGTGCAGCATTGTATCAAGCAATTTCTTCTTAACAAAATGGTCATCAGGTACAACCATCGACATATTATGCAACAGCACCTCCATTTTATCACCATCCATATACAACATCAACAGCATTATTACAACAATTGTTAAATGCTCAAGAAATTCAGTATTCAACTACACAAGCACAGGCATCGTTCACGACACCTGTTCCATCATCAGCACTTTTTACAACAGCTGTTCCATCATCACCACCTTCTACAATAGTTGGTCCACCATCACCACATTCTACAATAGTTGGTCCATCATCACCACTTTTTACAACAACTGCTTCGCCATCACCACCTTCTATAACAGCTTCTCTTTTATCATCACCTCTATCAACAATATCAGCAAGAGGAGAACCTGCGCCAACGCCTCAATCTCTACAAACACAATCAGGTCACCAGAATTATTCACCCGGACCCCAATTACAGTCACACCCTCCTCCTTCTCCTACTTCAACACTAGTAACCATTATTTCACCAGCGCAACAACAACAACAGAAGTCTCCAGCTCAACATTTATTAGCTCCTGGTCGACATCCATCAATCAACTCTCAATCATCAACAACATACCAATATGATCCATTAATAACAGGACCGACTGTCCAATTAATTGATCCAACAAAGCCGTACAAAATTGAAGATACGATCCAAGTTGGAGGACGTGCTTTAAAATCAGATATATCCTCAATGAAATATTGGCTTGAAGACGATATAACTATTACAGAAACAGCAAGCAGAGGGCGCATACTCAACATGGGAGGATATTCATATTTCGCAAAAACTTATGGAAAAAATTTTACGAAATGGGAATGTGAACATCGACGTCATCATCGATGTTCTTTAATAGTTATTCGGTCATCAGATCCAACAGTAAAAAATTATTTTCGGATTTATTCAATTCAAGGTGAACATATCCATGAATCCACACCGGATAATGTTGAAATTCGTAGGTTTAAACACCGTGTACGTGATCGTTGTCGTCAGAAGTTATCTAGTCCACGAACAATTTACGAAGACGAATTGATGAAAGGAAAATATTCAGCAGAAATGTTAGCAGTTTTATTAACATTTTATAACATGCGTAAGTAAAAAGAAAAACTTTTCTTACAACTTCGTTTCTCGGGAAAGACCGTATAAATACTAATCTGGTGACCAGTTCTCGCACTATTGATTATTTCAAGATAAATATGATTAGAGACAAAAATTAATATAATCTTAATGAATCTGGTGACCAAATTACGATTTTGCTTAATTTTTTTTAAGAAGCACAATTGTATCGTATTCGTCAGGAACATTTACTTACATCACCAACAGATCCAAACTTTGTGCTACACCCAAGATTTACGACTACGGATCAAAGAAACAGATTTTTATTGTACGATTCTAATGCTATTCAAGTACCATATGCATCAGCACCACCAGAAGTTGGTCGTTTACTAATTTATGCGAGCAATTTACAGTTAGATATTTTATCGAAATCAAAACGCATTGGAAGTGATGGAACATTTGAAACAGTTGCACAGATTAGTCATCAGAATTACATAATAATGGGTGAAATTGAAGAAAAGCATCCTGGTAAGAATAAATTATGATCTGATCATCAGGAAAGTTTTTCTGATTATCAATGTTTTCTTGTACTTTTAATTATAGTACCATTAATTTTTTGTTTGTGTGAATATAAAAATGATGAAACTTACAAACTAATCATACAAATATTAAAAACAGCTGTTATCAATTTGAATCTAGATTTCAAGCCGGTATATTGGATGAATGACTATGAAGGTGCATTAACAAAAGCTATTAAAGAAGAGATAAATATATAATCTCTTTATAAAATGTGTCTTTTCATAAATTACTTCTTTAGTCCTAGTTAAGAGTTGCATGTATATACTATAAATCCTTAAAACATTATGCTGGTCACCAGAGATATTTCGAAGAAAGTACAGAGCCAAAAGCCTAACTATAATCGAGAGTCTCGAAACATGTATCAATTAATAGCTTTTGGTGACCAGATTCACAAGTTTTATTGTGAAGCCGTGTTCTTTTAATTATCTTTTATTTTCAGCTGCCAAATACACAATTACTGGGATGTGCATTTCACTTTTCACAAGCAATTTATCGTAATATTCAAGGCAAAGGTCTACAAGATGCATATCAAAATGTGGAAGTGGTACGACAAATTCTTCGTCAAACAATGGCTTTAGCATTTTTACCAAGTGATCAAATTACAATAGTATACTATGATGTCATTAAACCACAATTAAATGATGTTCCAGTAAAACTAACATCTCTTCGTCATAATTTACGTGATTTTTTCAAATATTTCGAATCATTTTGGTTGAGGAAAATTAATCAGTTTTGTGTATTTGATCAATCAACACGTATAAACAATGGACTTGAGGGTAATTAGTATTTCATTTCTATCTCATCTTAATTATAAGTAGTTTCTCATCTAAGATTAAAACAGATTTCCACTAATAAAAGTAGAATGTGATCATCAGACTATAGACTTTTCTCGAAAACCTCAAAATTACAAAAGAAAGACTAGTTAACAATCCGATTAATCATTTTCTAATAGAAATAGTACTCACACTTCTACGGTACATGTGGTCACCAGATGTCTAAAATACGTTCAGCTTCGCCTATCTTCAATTAATCATGACGTCTACTATTCTTTCAAATGTAGGGTATAACAACTAAATGTGTGTTCAGCTATCAGCTCATTCACATCTTTATCGTCTTATTGTGTGGTTTGAAAAAGAAGAATTGTTAGTATAACAATTAGTAATGAAAATTAGTTCAGATATATCGGTGCACAAAAGAAAACAAACTGCAATAACAATTCTTATTAATGATTCATTACAATCTTTGTGGAATAGTTATAATGCTGGAAAACTTAGTGCAAAGGATTTATTATTGGAATCATCTAAATGGGTAGCAAAAAAAGTTTTATAAAAGTCATATCAAACAAGGTGAATATTTCGGTGTATTTTTGTGATATTGTGTATGTACATTGTTTTTGTTGCTTGCCAATGTCGAATAAATTTTGTATTTGGTGACCAGAATCTCAAAACTGTGCTTTGATTAATACTTCTTTCTTTGGATAATACTCTATGCCCATTATATTGTTTTTCTTTGATATTTCTGCTTCGCCGCTTTCTCTTAAACATATTCTTGTTCAGCAAAAAAACAATTTAATTCTCTATTTATGCTGCTGTGCTTTTTCATTTTTTTACTGCTTTTGAAGCTTGTTCATATATGAAATAAATAATTCCATTTTTGTTATTTGTAAGGTGTGATTTTTCTATCTACATCATTAATTTCTTTTTTTCATTGTGCTAACTCTTTTGGTTGTCTTAGGATCATTTTTTTAAGAAAATTAAAAGTGTGTACATTGTAAATAAAAGCTATGACTAACTCTTCACAATAGAGAAATATTCAACTGCCAATATGATGCCAAAATTCTTTAAAACTGATGATGAAGATAGAATAAAAATATTTTAGAGAGTGTGCTGGCAAAACTGAATGTCTAGACTTTACCGCGAATTGTGGTCTCCAGATTCATCCCTACATCACATCCCTATTTCTGGATAATTAAACAATTATGATCAACACTAGTGACGAAGTACGGATTTTGATTTAGGAATTTTTCAATTGACAAATTTATGTTTTAAATACACAAAATGCTGTTCAAACCATAACCAAATAACATCTCAGTATTCACACCATTCTGTACTTATGTCTCATAATGCCATTGATTGTAGACCTCTTATTAATCAATTCACTCAGATTCTGGCAACCACATTCAGTTCTCTAAAAATCTTATAAACGGAATTAATTCTGTAAGATACAAATAGGTAAAATTAATTTTGTAAGATTCTGGTAACCAGGATGATTTCTATAAGAATTTTATAAGCGGAATTAATTCTCTAAGATTTCAATATGTAAAATTAATTCTCTAAGATTGCAGTAACTAGAATGTACCTATCCATACTATGGTTTGCGCTACAGTACTTGGTTTCAATGGTAAAAGATTTTCAGCACGGTAAAAGACGGTGTTGAATTATGATGTGTAAGGCATATTTTATATTTAAAACAAAATCCACAAATTGAAAAGTCCCTTAATCAAAATCCCTATCTAGCCCCAGAATTAGTCATAATTATATAATTATCTACAAATGTGAATATATGTAGGGACGTATCTGGATATTACAATTTGTGGTAAAGAATAAGCAACCGGCAAACTACCAGATACTAGATGATTTTCTCATTTTTGAGAAACTATTTTCTCTCGATCAGACGTGACCGTTACTGCGCCTTACAAGGAATATGGGATTTATTTTTTAAATGAATTACAGTAACTAAACAAAATTAATAAAAATAAAACCATAACAAGGATAAACTACTAAACTTCCGCATTATTTTTTTGAATCTGGTTACCAGATCATGATCATTGACACGTAAAATTTGAATGAGCTTTGTATTTGAAGACTAATGAATAAAAGATATTCATTGACAATAATGTTATATTACGAGGCTTATTTTACCGGAAGATAGATTTATAACGTTACTATTTACTGTTTTGATGTTATAATATCGAATATAACGTCGTGTTGATGGTTATATTACTCAGATCGATCTAATAGTACAGTTCAAGATATCTAACATTAGAATACAAATACGTGTGCATTATGATATGAGTGATAAGATGCTGTTGAATTGCAGTATATATATATATAGTGTATCTTATGATAAAAACATCCACAAATAAAAAAATGCCCAAATTAAAATGCCCATTTAGTGACTAGAATTTACCTTAATTGTTTGATTTTCCGCAAATGGGAATATGATTTGGGGATTGATTCAGGGAACCACAATTTGGGGCAAATGATAACCTACCGGTTATAGGTCAAAATTTAAGTTTCAGGGAGTCCCAAATTTCTCCACCATTTCAAATGCCAGAAATCTCGGGCTGGTTTTAAAATGCAGCTAAGATGTAGAACTACAACTTAACAGAGCTCGATTTTTCGATTTTCTCTTAGCTTGTGTTTTTAGAAAACTTCTTTGATGAAACAATGAAAAGTCCAAGAGGTGTAGCTCTAGTACAGTTAGTTTTTTTTATAAACATTAAGGGAAAAATCGAAAAATCCGGCTCTGTTAAGTTGCAGAACTAATTTTTGCCTTCATTTTGACCCCAAGTCCAGCTTTCTAGCATTTAAAATGGTGGACAAATCTGGGACACGCGGAAACGTAAAAATCAAAATTCCTATTTTGAGAGAAAACCAAAATTTTTTAGAAAAAAAGCTATTTTCTTCTATGGAAGGTTCAGAAAAACCTATATAATATCCTTAAATCTCATCATAAGATCAATCAACTATAGTGCATCCGAAAGTAGACACTTAGCTCTATCTCACTAGACAGAAATCGCAAAATCGATAGATTTGACCAAAATTGACTTTTTTTTTAGGGGCCCTTAAAACGGCGTTTTAACGATAGATTCTCGTTAAAACAACATTTTGAAAAATTCTAACGCGTTTTCCTCCATATATTCAAAAAATTTACCGGGTTTTAGTGCGTTAAAAATCAGAAATGCATTTAAACAAGGTAAGATCAATTGGAAAAACCTATGTTTTTGGATATTTTCTTAAACGAGTTTTTACTATATTCAACAAAACTTCCCTATTTTTCGTTTTTTTTTTGACAATTTATCACGTTTAAACAAATTTATCCTTCGAAATTCTTTAAAATGCAGGATATTTAGTCCAATAAATTGTGCTTACGTCAACACATCTAATGTGAAAATGAGTACTTATGTACCGTCCTAATTTTTCACCCGGGTAACAAATCATTTTTAGACAATCACACATAAACAAGAGGACATATTGTAAATATCCTCTACTTATTTTGTCTTTCTTGTATAATTGTCAGATTATGTCACTCTTCATCATCTACTTGTTTAACTTGCTTATGTATCATGTTTCTTACAGTTCAAATTTGATTTGATCTACTTGCGATGTAGCATGGTTATTGTTCTAATTTTTCCTTTCTTCTATGTAGTATTTGTATGATCATAGAAATTCTCAAGATGTTTTCTTGTTTTTGTTCAGAATTATTTGTGTTCTATAAAGAAATCTTCATCGTTTAGTACGAAGATATACTTATTACATAAATAATAATGGGTATTGATAAAATACAGTATAATCCGCTCCAGCCGCTGTTTAACTCGAGTTTATTATCAGTCGATAGAGCTTAGAATTCTCCAGTCATAGCACCCCACAACTAGCCATTTTGTTTAAAAAGTTTTTGATAAAAAATTCAAATATCATTTCGAACGATCCACTCAAAGTTACTGTGACCCATTCTCACCTAGAACTCAACGAGAATTAATTTTCAACAACAAAAATATTATCGAAGTCACTCTTCGATATATCTAAACTTGTTCAACTTATGCCCGTGTAGGCGAATAATTAGAAATAATGGACAGTGCTATGACAATTCGTTGCAGGACAATTAGTCGCATGGACAATTCGTCATAATGATATAATCCAATTATAATTTATCATTATGTTTTCATTGATGAAATAGCCTATTAAGTTAAGTTTGAAACACATAATTCAACAAGCATAAAAATTGTAGAGAATATTTCTAATGATTAAACTTCGATTTTTGATCTCGAGCAGTATAATAATCGTCTTGTACACATAAAAAGCTAGATTATTTGAATTATGTCAACGGTAATTTTTCTTACAGAAGTAGAAATGACATTGCATCTTTCTTTTAATTTTGACCGTAGCTCAAAACTCATGACACATGGAAAAATACTTTGAGAAGATGAATGAAATCTAGTGCTCACTGATAAAGATTGAATTTGACATAACCAGCAAAAATAGCTTTTGATGGAATTCTTTTATTAAATTTTCTTATTTAGCGTACAAATTCTGTTAGTTTAAAGACGACCACCTCTTATTTTACACATTTAAAATTAAACTAGTTCGAATTAATCGATGATTTATATAGTGCTAGAACTACTTATTATGATATCTCACGTCTGGATTTTTTCATCTCATCGATATGACTCATGAAGTAGAAAACGAATCTGATGTTTTTGTCAAAACAGAATTTCTTATAACGATACAAACCGAAATAAAAAAAACGAAGTCTAGTCATTAGAAATATTCTCTACAATTTTTATACTCGTTGAATTATGTGTTTCAAACTTAACTTAGTAAGTCACTTCATCAATGAAAAAACAATGATAAAGTATAATTGGATTATATCATTATGACGAATTGTCCATGCGAATAATTGTTCGTGCGATGAATTGTCTTGCAACGAATTATCCATGCGATGAATTGTCCGGTCACCATAATAGACATTATTATGCATTATAATGGACAAATAATGGATGTA